TTCATATGGTAAAAGTAATTTCAAGCAAAAGATGTAAATCTTACATATTTTGCTTGAGGTCAGCGACGGACTCCGATTTCATCTTCTGAAGCGAGGTAAACGCATTGAGATACGATTTGAGCAGCAGCCGCTTGTTCTCATAATGGTCATTTAACGTCGCCCAGACGCGGATAAAGTTGTCTGCTGTGACTGGAAGGCTCGTGATCAATTGCAGGGCATCACCCTTTACGCTGCTCTTCAGGTATTGGAACTTCTTTATGTTCGACAGGGATTTCTCATCAATTACCAACGATTCGAACAGGTCTCGGTAAGTGGGCCAATCCTCAAATCTTCCCGAGAACTCCGGCAGCGGAATCTGGGGCAACGTGGTGCGCTGCACAGACAGATCGACGGTTGGGGGCTTCGTGGCTTGGGCCGGAGCGGATGCGCCCAGCGCCTTGCCCAAGTCCATAAATGTTGCCCGTTGTTGGACGTACAATGCTTCGATTTCGCTTATGAAATCGTTGGTAACGTACTCGTGCTTTTCGAGCTTGTCTCCGTAGTCAGCACACAGCTCAGAGTGCTGCTTTTTAGTTTTTGTCCACTTGGCGTCCAAAAGCTTTAGGCACAATTCAACTACAGCAGCGGTCACATTGGCTGCTCCCATTTTTTTTTAGATTCTCCACAGTGCGCCCGATGCGCCCATGGATCTCAGCTTGTGCGGATAGCAGTTGTTCCATCTTGGCACTTTTGGAACAGTCACAACCGACGCGCGAGTTCGCGGATGATCCCGATCAACGTGCAAGTCATCCCGAGATCGAAATCCGGCTCGAAGGACTAAAAATGTTCGTTATCGTGAGATGCGAGAGAGGCACTGGGAAGAGGAGGTTGATTTAAAGAAATAAATTGCGCTTGATTTGGGCAAATAAAATTGAGTGATTTATTCGCAACAGAGAATTGGAAGGTACACGGAGCCGATCTGTGACCGGTACGCACGAGTGTGAGCGTGAATGTTTCACAAAGGGCGGAGACACGCGTATTGCCTCCGAGAGTTGCGGCAGTACCGCTCGCTCAAATCGTCCCCACGCGGCTCGATCCTCTGGAAGATTCGATGTTACGTCACGACTGCCCTGTTTTCGTTTTGGGGCATTGCAAGTCAAGGCGAATCTTCGAGAAGACCGCGCCGGCCATGGCTCGATAGTTACGTGACTTCCCGCGCGCAACGTTTTCCCGCTCAGAGCGGAAATCGAGGCTGCGCCGCTCGAGGCTCGGCGCAAAGCGGAAATTCGCGGCCAGAGCAAAGTTGTCGGCTGCGCTGCTCAATGCGCGCGCTAATTTCAAACACAAAATATATCTTAACTAATTATACATATTCCATCTTTTCGACATCTATTAAAAAGATTTATACCATTGGTATACTTTTATTAGCGATTAATATTTATAGATCATCGGAGCATCGGTTCTCGGACGATCACAAGGTTAAACACGTTTCAGGAGATTTATGGCTTGGATGGGTGACTGCTTTAGAAATATCGTAAATAAGTTTCTAAATACATATTTTTTAATCACAATTTTGTTATGTATATTCTTTTTCATTCTCTAGTATATAATGCTAATTAATAAAATTTATTGTATTTAAAACAAATTTATTTTAGCAATTAAATTGGAATGGTCAAGAATACATAAAAAATTTATGCAATTTGACATCATTTTGACAAACTAAAATTTGATCTTATTTTTATGTCATTTTA